AGGCCCCAGTGGGGGTGTTCGCATGCGGTTCCCCCACCCAGGGCAGCGTTTCGTGGCCCCATAGGGAGCTCCACCGAAGGCCCCAGTGGGGGTGTTCGCATGCGGTTCCCCCACCCAGGGCAGCGTTTCGTAGCCCCATAGGGAGCTCCACCGAAGGCCCCAGTGGGGGTGTTCGCATGCGGTTCCCCCACCCAGGGCAGCGTTTCGTGGCCCCATAGGGAGCTCCACCGAAGGCCCCAGTGGGGGTGTTCGCATGCGGTTCCCCCACCCAGGGCAGCGTTTCGTGGCCCCATAGGGAGCTCCACCGAAGGCCCCAGTGGGGGTGTTCGCATGCGGTTCCCCCACCCAGGGCAGCGTTTCGTGGCCCCATAGGGAGCTCCACCGAAGGCCCCAGTGGGGGTGTTCGCATGCGGTTCCCCCACCCAGGGCAGCGTTTCGTGGCCCCATAGGGAGCTCCACCGAAGGCCCCAGTGGGGGTGTTCGCATGCGGTTCCCCCACCCAGGGCAGCGTTTCGTGGCCCCATAGGGAGCTCCACCGAAGGCCCCAGTGGGGGTGTTCGCATGCGGTTCCCCCACCCAGGGCAGCGTTTCGTGGCCCCATAGGGAGCTCCACCGAAGGCCCCAGTGGGGGTGTTCGCATGCGGTTCCCCCACCCAGGGCAGCGTTTCGTAGCCCCATAGGGAGCTCCACCGAAGGCCCCAGTGGGGGTGTTCGCATGCGGTTCCCCCACCCAGGGCAGCGTTTCGTGGCCCCATAGGGAGCTCCACCGAAGGCCCCAGTGGGGGTGTTCGCATGCGGTTCCCCCACCCAGGGCAGCGTTTCGTAGCCCCATAGGGAGCTCCACCGAGGCCCCAGTGGGGGTGTTCGCATGCGGTTCCCCCACCCAGGGTCGTGGCCCCGCCCTGTTCGCATGCGGCCACCCAGGGCAGCGCTTCGTGGCCCCATGGGGAGCTCCACCGAAAGCCCCCGTGGCGCAGTTCGCATGCGCTTCCCCCACCCAGGGCAGCGTTTCGTGGCACCATAGGGAGCTCCACCGAAGGCCCCAGTGGCGCAGTTCGCATGCGGTTCCCCCACCCAGGGCAGCGTTTCGTAGCCCCATAGGGAGCTCCACCGAAGGCCCGCCCCGGTGGCGCAGTCCGCATGCGGTTCCCCCATCCAAGGCAGCGCTTCGTGGCCCCATATGGAGCCCCACCGAAAACGGCACCCACAACGCGTTACCAACAATTGCTTATGGTTGGGTCTTTCGCCGGGATAATTTTTAGACCCTGACCCTGCCGATCTGCGGAGGAGTGCCACCGAATTTTAGAAATGTGACAAATCTTTTTTGTGTTTTGGGCCCTGACCCCGCCGATATGCGTGAGGGGTGCCACCGAATTTCAGAAATTCGGCAAATCTCTTATGTTTTTGGACCCTGACCCGGCCGATTTGCGTGAGGGGTGCCACCGAATGTCAGAAAGGTAGCAAATCTCCTGTGTTTTTGGACCCTGACCCCGTCGATCTGCGTGAGGGGTGCCACCGAATTTTCAGAAAGGTCGTAATTCCGTAATGTTTTTGGACCCTGACCCTGCCGATCTGCGCGAAGGGCGTCACCGAATTTCAGAAATGTGGCAAATCCCATATGTGTTTGGACCCTGACCCCGCCGATCTGCGTGAGGGGTGTCAATTTTGCCCACCCCAGCAATTCAGACAACACGCCCAGGGCGTTGTAAAAATGCCCGTTTTAGGCCTCCCCCCCTCGCGCGGTCCATCAACAAGGAACAGTAAGCAGCAAGAAGCAGAACTGTAACAGTTAGCAGCAAGAAGCAGAACCGTAACAGTGGAAACAGGAAGCTGCAACTGGTACAGGAAATTGCTAACCTTAGGCCTTAGCCTGGTGGCCCCACAAGGGGGCCAGCGGATATATAAGAGAGATGTGCATGCCCTTGTCAACTTCTAGGGGGTCTTTATTTGATTTCAAAAGTCCTAGAGTGCCGCACCTGGCAGTTTGGCTACACTTCCTGGCAGACTCGACTCCGCTTGATATATTTGACATCTGCTTCATCTGGCTGGCGCAATCCCCGGCTGAACATGGCTCGGTGGTGATGTTGATGTCGGTGTTGATGGTGATGGTGATAATGAAATTGTTGCGGTTGGCGATGAGGAGGTTGAAAGTGATGATGATGTTGATGATGCTTATGCTGATGATGCCGATGCTGATAATGATGACGATGGTGATGCTGCTGATGATATTGATCCTGAGTACGATGATGCTGATGCGGATGGTAGTGGTGGTGGTGATGGTGGTGATGATGATAGTGATACTGATAATGATTTCAATGATGCTGAGGACGACGATGATGGTGATGATGATGAGGTTAATAATTACGATTGTGGATTTGGTATTAGTGTCGATGGTAAGGGCGATGCTGCTGATGATGAGGAGGATTTTGATTGTGGTTACGGCGACGATCATGATTATGATGATGATGCTGATGTTGATGATGAGGATGCTGATGATGGTGATGACGTCGATGGCAGTGGCAGTGGCAATTATGCTGATGATCGTGATAATGGTTACGACGACGACCAGGTTGTTGATGACGATAGTATTGGAGGGAGGGGCTGTCTCCATGTATTGTGAACGCCGTGGCGGTTGGTGAATGCCGTCAACATGTATTGTGAATGCCGTAGCGGTTGTGAACGCCGCAGCGATTGGTAATTGTTGTCATTTTTTTTGGGGGGGGGCTCGTGGACATTTCGCAGTCTGGTGTTGTATACGCCCGTTAGTCGTTTGTGTCTGCGTTCGATGTGTCACGGGTAGAAGGAGACGGAAGAGAAAGAGAGCGAAGCGGAGAAACATGGAGGGACAGGAACATGGGGACGAGGAGGAGCAGCAGCATCAGGAGGACGACGCAGCAGCATCAGGCATCATCAGGAGGAGCAGCAGCATCAGGAGTAAGATGAGAAGGAGGAGGAGGAGGAGGAGGGGGAGGCAGAGAGAACGTTTGATCCGTGCTGGTCGGTGGCCTCCGTGTCGGAAGTGGCCCCATGCCGACCCCGTGCGTTGGCTATCGACCAGTGGCCTTGTTGGGTAGTGTATGGGAGGGCATTAAAGATGCAGCCGGATGCGAAATAGGTGTTGCGACGCCATGCCCTTCTGCCGTCGTGGGCGTCTCTTGGGGCATGGGCAGCGGGCAAGCAACTGCGAAACATGGCATCGCAGTGCTGAAGATTATGTTGCTTGGGCTGCTGAGATTCACTGGTGAGATGGACATTTTCTTCTGAGGCGTCCCGCCCGCCCCGGGTCTCGGACGGGACTTCCTTTCTTCCTTCCTTGGTCGTCTCTTGGGTGCCTTCGGGATGTATGGCCTCTGGGGAGTCCCTTCGAGGCCTCGGGTGCCTCCGGGTGCCTCCTTGGGGCTGCAGTCAGCCCGCTCAGTAAGGATGGGCGACCTCCCAGGAGTACTTCAGCATCCTTGCCTACAGTCAACCCGCAGAGTAAAGATGGGCAGCATTCCCAAGGGTACCCTTGCATCCTTGCCTTTTCGGCCCGTCCTTGGCCAGTTTCGTTGGCTGCGCCCCGCTCGAACAGCTTCGAACTGGGCGTCCAAGGCCCTTGCATTCTTATCGCGCATCCTTACTATACGAGTTGACTGTACTCGGTCCATCCTTGGCCGCTTTCGTTGGCCAACCTCGTTCGGGGAACGTTGCCCTTACATCTTCACCGCGCATCCTGATGATACGAGCTGACTGTATCTGGGGGGGGCGAGGCTCCGAAAACCAGGTCGATGTCTCTCTCCGGTGGGCCCCTCTTCGACCACCTTCTTGTGGGCCTCCAGGGGCCGTCCTCGAGGGGCTTTCGGGCCGCCTTGGAAGCCTCCTGGGCAGTCTTGGGATCCTCGTGAGGCCGTTGGGGGGGCGTTTTGGGGCGATCCTCGGAGCCTTTTGCGCCATCTTGGACTCCTAGCATTCGGAAGGGCGCCGCCGCTAGGCGAGTTCTTCGATATATTGGCGGCTAGCTACCCCCTTTGGCGACCCCCCCCCCGCTCGTCCGACCCGACCGATGTCTCTTCAGCTCTGTTCGAAGGTTTGCGAGTGCCTCCGGCAATCTTGCCTGGCGGACGTTCAAGCGGACGCAACGATTGCTCCGCACGCCCCGGCTCCTGGAATATTCGGTTCCGTCTCCGTGCGGACGCGAGCGCTCACGTCAACCGCTGTTTCACGACGGAACTGCCAGCTGACAGTGGCGAGTTTGCTCTCTTGATTCGAGGATGATTCAAATAAACATAATCGTTTCGAGCTCTGCGAGCCTTGATGCGTTGAGGCTTCGGGCGCACAGACAGCCTTGCATGCACGTGGCCCCTGCGCGCCTCAGCAGGCCCCCCGAGTACAGTCAACCATGATAGCAAGAATGGCTCAGTTTTCCAAGACTACCATTGCACCCTTGCCCCTTCGGTATTCGGCATCCTTCGGCATTTGGCTGCGCCCCGCACGGAAAACGTCAACATGGCGTTCCAAGGCCCTTGCATCATTATCGCGCATCCTTACTATCAGGAGGGAAACAAACACACACACAGACACAATTAATCGTCGATTCCCTTGAGAGTGTGGGAAAAGATGGGAAGTGTGAGGGGGAAAACAAAACCCAGAACTTTTGGAAAAATATTGAATCTTGCCATTTGTGTGTATTTAGTTGTGTGTCCCAGGGACCCTTCATATAGTGGTTGACTATAGCCTGGCGCGGTCTACTCGGCGGGCCTTTTGAGGCCAGCCGCGCTTACCCATAGGCCTACCAAACAATGTTCTAAGAACCGCTTGTGGTTTCCACGACATGTTCTCAGAGCATTTTTGTCCGGGACAGTACTGTTTTAACCCATCGGGTTTACGTTCTAAGGACATTTCTGGTTCTTAGAACATGTTTGGGCTATAGGAACAATTTGTGGCAGGCATATAGGAATACCGGAGCCCGTCGGCCCCTGCTCAACACCTCGAGTTCCGCTTCGGGGAGCCCCGGCGCCGAGGCCGAGCTCCAGGAGATCGCCGCGCGCAATGCCGAGGTGAAGCTCTGGCAGGCGTGGGGGGAGGGGGAGGAGGGCCGACGGTTGGAGCGCCTGCTTCTGTCACGACCGCCGACACACGTGACCGCGGTTCGACCTGCGGCGGTGCTGTGGCGGGCGCCGCGGGCGCCCCGTGCCATTCGGGAGGGAAGGATCGTATTGACTGACACGTCGCCCTTGGGAGCCAGTCGGTGTGTTGCTGGTGCTCCTGCCGTAGTGACGCACTGGTCGGTTCCCCTCGGCGGCGCGTCGTTCGTAACCTTGGTATCGCTCGGACGTGTGCACTTTTCCCGGCGGGGATTATTAAGGAGCATCCTGGATCATCCTGCGAGAAAAAACCACGCACGAAACCGACAAACCACAGGGAATGGACGCCCGAGCGATGGCCAGTACCATCGAAGCACTACCAAAGGTCGCCCGCCTCTGCTCTGCAGTGGTGGTGGTGGACGGTACGCTCACCGCAGCAGCGGCGCCGAGGGTCTCGCGGCAGAGAGATGAATTCGGTCAGGCAGCATTCGCGCGGAGCCCGCCAGTTGCGGCGCCAGAGTGGGCCCCGGCGGGGTCCAGCGCCGATGTGAGAAGTCCGCGCGGAGCTCCGACAGTTTCTGTCTGTGCAGTTGTGGTTCGTCCAGTCGGTGTGGGGGACTGGGGAGGCGTGTGGGGGGTCAGGACAAGGCTGGGCCACCCACAGTTGCCATTTGCCAGAAGGGCCGCGCTGGAGAGCACGACGATTGCAGCACGGTGCGTATCGTTCGACACCTTACAGTCGGGGCCCTGAAGAAGGAACCCTTTTCGCTGGGGAGGGGCTCGGTGTTCCTTGATTGTTTCAAAGTTTGCCTCGGGTTTTCCTGAGGTTTTCCATAGGAAATCGAGGTTGAACTTATAGGAGAAAGGGGCCTCGTTCCTTATTTAGGGTTCCTTAGGTCAACGCCTCGACTGTAGTTGCCCTGATATGCCCGTGCTGAATCGCGACACGTTCCGTGCTCGAAACGTCCGGGCCAATACGCTGCGTGTTGGCTCGGCATGTCTTGGTCCACGCTGTGGCGACCTGGTCACGCCAAAGGTGGGGAAACGAAAAGGTACCGATACCGCTACTCCCCGGACCTCTCCTGGGGTGCGTTTTGACCAGGATTTCGAGGCGAATCCAGCGGTGACAACGAGGGCCTCCGAGGAAGACCGAACAGGGAACAACGGGCGGAGGGTAGAGGTATGGGTACCTTTTCTTCCTCTGGAAACGTGCGTCTCCAGCCTCCGTGCTGAGCTCCGTGTCGGCACGCTGCGGGCTGCGTGTGGCGTCTTGGGGCCGCGGAGCTCGACGGGCAGCAGCGTGTCGCTCCGCAAGGGTTGTGGAAGTCGACTAACGGAGCGGAAGCATGCTGCCAAATAATTCCCGGATGTCTACAAAGTGTTTCAGACATGTTCCAAGTATGTGAACACCTGTTTGACACATTTTGAGAACAGGCTTTCACCTTTTTTAAAACACGATGTTGATTCAATGCTCGGGCTGTTAGGGTGTCCACGGTCATGGCATCCACAGCGCCACGGGGGGCGGGGCGGCGAAGAGGAGGAGGGCCCGGGCGGCGCCGCCCGTGCTCCCCGCCGCTCTCGGCCAGGCCCGCCCCTGGCCAGGGAGGCGGCCTCTCACGCGTCCCCTGGCCTGGCCGAGGCAGCCCAGGTTTCAGTCGGGCAATGATTGCAAAAAAACCAAGGATTGCAAAAATGATTGCAAAAAAAAACCTGGATTGCCAAAAGGATTGCAAAAAGGGTTTTTGTTGCAATCCTTCGACCAAGGATTGCAAAAAGGATTGCAAAAAGGATTGCAATCAGTCGGGCCTGGTCCCTCTACAGGAGGAAGGTCCAGAGATAGTCAAAAAAGATGGTCTGGGTCAAAAAAGAGGGTCTGATGGTATCATAAAAAATAATAGCAATAAAACATGTTTAAACAATATATTTAAACAATAACATAAAAAATCAATAAATAAACAATAAAAAAGAATAAACATAAACATAAAAAATAATAATAAAATAACACAAAATAAAAAAATGATTGTGTTGCTATTTTGGGGCGTTCGTCTGGATGGGGTGTTCATTGTTTGCCCAGGACCCCCATGTAGGGGGACACGCCCGACTGGAGCGCAGGCACAGAGCCCACCGAGGCCCCACCAGAGAGGACGCATGCTGCCAGATAATTGTTTCAGATGTCAAACACATGTGTTACACATGTCCTAGACATGCAGAAGCAGGTTTTAAGCACGATAGGCCTGTCGGGTTGTCCCTTGTCGTGGCAGCCACATGCCTGGCTGAGGCGGGCCCGGGCACAGAGGCGCGGCCCCGCCGGGGCCGGTGGGGCGGATCGCTGGCGTTCGCTCGTCGCGGGCGTCCAGGGTGGGGCCGGGCGAAGGGGCAGGGCAGGGAATAAAACGACGCGAAGATCGGGACAAAATCGGATCGGGATAACTCGAAATCTCTGAGAATCGCCGGATTTGGAGGATGTATTGGGCGCCGCGGCCGCTCCAGAGCGTTCCAGAACGCTCTGAGAGCGCTCCGGAACGCTCTGGAGCGATTTATCCCGATCCTAGCCCTGTTTTAGGGAAGGGGGGCGGGTTACGACATCTGCCGCGTGCAGCAGGTCTCGGCCCCGCCGCGGGGCCCGTTCCTCGACACATGGGCGCCTCCCGGCGCGTGGAAGCGCTGGGCAAACCAATTGCGCGAGCCAAGATGCTTTGACCGCCCTCCTCCCTGCCCTTCCCCTCGTGTCGTCCCTCGTCGTCGTTTTTCCTCCTCTTGCCACAGGGCTCCTTCCGGCTGGTAGAAATTGGGCGCCGGCGCCGGCGGCGGTGGCGTGGCGAGCCTCCTCCCTCCTTCTCCCCCGGCCCCCGGGCAGGGCGGGATGTACATGCTGCCAAGACTGCTTCGGTCGCAAAACATGGAAGCCTTGTGCCCTCGCAGTTCCGCTTTGAGAGCGCACTGGCGTCGATTGGCGCTTGGTATCCGATGAGATAGCGCAGATTCAGCGTCGGCCAGCGTCGGCCTAGCGTGTATTAGCGACGACCCGCGTCGTTCCGCAAGAGCCAACAAGATGGTATGGGAGGCTCTGATGAGTTGCCGCAGGATGCTGGTTTTGAGTTTCAAGTTCCTCACTTGTGGCCCCTCCTCCTCCCCCTCCTCCTACTCCTCCTCCTCCTCCTCCTCCTCCTCCTCCGCCTCCTCCTCCTCCTCCTCCTCCTCCCCCTCCTTCCAGTCCTCCTCCCCCTCCCCCTCTTCCGCCTCCTCCTGCTTCTCCTCCTCCTCCTCCTCCTCCTCCTCCTCCTCCTCCAGGCTGGGCGGGGGCGAGGGGGCAGCTGGCGCTGCGGAGCACGATGCTCCCTCCTACCGAGTCGATCCGATCCCCCCGCCCTCGGGCTTTGGTCGGGCCTCCTGGGAGGCCCTCGTCGCCACCGCTGGATTCGCTTCGAAATTCTGGTCAGAACCGTCTGGGGAGTACAGCGGTAGTGGCACCTCTCGGTTTCCCCACGGTAGCGAAAGGTCAATGGTCGAATGTCGAACACGTAAGATACCCCCGACCCTGGGGTAGGCGGGAAGACGAGCGATGATGATGAGGAGGAGGATGAGGATGATGAGGATGATGATGATTCTGGACACATGGGTACAATGCCCAACAGCAGTTTCTGTTCATTTTGAACAGGGTTCGCTGTGCACGCCGCCGCGGCCTGTGTCCATTCGAGACAGAAGGCCGCCTGCCCAAAGCGGCCGCTGTTGGTTTGGGACAACATTTGTTGTTGGGCATTGTACCCATTTTTTCCGTACCATCATCGGGCGTCCAAAATGATGATGATGATGATGATGATGATGATGATGATGATGATGATGATGATGATGATGATGATGATGATGATGATGATTATGATTATGATGATGATGATGATATGATGATGATGATGATGATGATGATGATGATGATGATGATGATGATAATGTTGATGATGATGATGATGATGATGATGATGTTGGTGATGATGGTGATGATGATGAGGAGGAGGAGGAGGATGGTGAAGATGATGCGACTGATGAGGATGGTGGTGATGGTGACTGATGAGGATGGTGATGAAGTCAATGATGATGCTGTTGGTGATGATGATGATGATGATGATGATGTTGCTGATGTGGATGATGATGCTGACGATTTTGTTGTTGGTGGCTTGCGATGATGATGCTGATGATGATGATGTGGATGCTGATGGCGATGCTGATGCTGATTGTGATGATGACGATGATGCTGTTGTTGGTGACGATGTTGATGATGATAAGGCTGATAAGGATGATCGCTGTGATGATTATGATGTTGATGATGCTGTCAATGATGCTGCTGCTGTTGATGATGATGATTCAGACGTTGCTGATTATGATGGTGGTGATGCCTATGATAATGCTCATGTTGATGCTGATACTGCTGATGATTATGATACTCATGGCACTGTTGCTGATGGTGCTGCTGCTGATGATGCTGGTGCTGATGATGATGATGATGAGGATGATGATGATGATGATGATGTTGTTGACGATGGTGATGATGTGTGATGTGGTGGTGGTGATGACGATGCTGGTGCTGTTGATGATGGTGATGATGATGATGACGATGATGATGATGCTGCTGATGCTGATGCCGATGCTGATGCTGCTGATGAAGACGATGCCGTTGACGACGACAACGAGGACGACGACGACGACGACGAGCGAGGGCCCGCCTCGTGACGTAAGGGGCGGGGGCCTCCGCGGCGAGAGCGCTCCATCGGCGTGTTGGGCAGGGCCGGCTGCACAAGGGCAGCCGCGGCGCGGGCTCCGCTGTTGGCTCGCGGCACGGCGGCGCCCGCTCGCAGGAGACGGCGCACTGCGCGTTGGGGGTGCGATCGAACTGGGTCCGTTGCATCTTCTGGGGACTTCTTTTCTACGGCAAACCTTCAATGAGCCCCAAACACACACGATGCACGAATTTCTTCTGCGGCGTCAGCCCGGGCGGAAAGTCCGAAACCACACGGCAGTCTCCTTGGCAAGACGTTGCAGCGAGCGCTGGAAGCCCTTTGACAGACCTGGCACGTACCACCACGTCAGGCAAGGGACCTCGCCTGTCCCCAAAAATTGGGTTCTCTTCTTGTGCCCGACGCGGGCCCGATGCGGACTCGACGCGGATGTGGCGTGGATCCGACGCGGATTCGACACGGATTCGACACGGATCCGACGAGTCCGACATGGTCTCGCCACGGACTCGACGCGGAGAGGGCCGCGACGGACAAGGCCCCCCGAGGATGCAACATGAAGTTGGGCACGGGAAGCGGGGGTGCTCGGCATCGTGTTCCTGATGCCGTATCCCCCTCGGAGAAGCAATCGCTGCATAGACATACACATGGTTCCTTTCTGATTCTTCAAATTTTCTCTCTGATTTTTGGGAAGGGCGAGATCCTTTCAGTTCTAATCCTTCTATCCTGGGCCTCGTCCTGGCCACCAGGGGGCCAGGAACAATTAGCAACGAGCACAATTAGAAACGAGCGCGATCCGAAACGAACGATGTGCAAATGCTCGGTGCTCCGCGCTGCGCCCGGCTCCCCTGGCGGTGCGGGAGGCGCCGCCAGGGGCGGCGCGGGAGGCGCCGTCAGGGGGGCCGGGCGCAGATCCAAGGCTGCGCGGAGTTTCACAAGTCTCGTGCCAAAATCTACCATGATCTACACGAGCGCCCAGGATCACCATCATCGTCATCGTCATCGTCATCATCATACCTTGTATAACTGACGTCACTTTCCCTGGGCAAAGCGTGGACTGTCCCCGCCAGGCCCCCGAACTTCATTATCCTGGGGTGATGATTGTCCGGGGCACAGGGTTAGTTGTTTCTTCCTTTCCATCCTGACCCCCACCGTCCGACCAGCCCAGTTGGGGATATGCCCCTCGAAAACAACCTAGATCCCCCTCTAGGGGGATATTTCGGAAGGTGGGGCCCAGGACACGCCCGTGGGGACCAGGGATCGGTCAAACGATGCTCGTGTACGACGGCCGACAGCAGTTCCTGTTCATTTTGAACAGGGCTCGCTGTCGGTGTCGCCGCGGACGGTGTTCATTTAGACAGAAGGCCGCCTGCCCAACATTGGCCGCGGTCGAGTTTGAACGGCATTTTTGGTTGGGCATCGCACCCTGTTTGTTCATACCCATTTCGGACGTCCAAATCTTCGGACCATCGATCCTCCCAGACGCCGAACGGGCCATAAAAAAACGTGTCCCAGCAGATGGCGTCGGATAATCGCGGACCATCGCCGGTGCATCGCCGATGCGGCTCTATGTTGAGCCTGAGTGTTCCACGCTACCGTCGCAGATGCATCGCCGACGCATCGCCGATGCATCGGCGATGTATCGCCCATGCATCGCCGATGCGACGTGACCCTGCGACCTCGTCTTCTCCGATCCTATCTGGGAGTCCTCGATCTTCGGTCCGTCGATCTGCACCGACCCCCTTGAGTTATGGAAAAAAAACCTGGCTGCATCTAGTCCCACGATTGTGGAGTAGGAGGAGGAGGAGGAGGAGGAGGAGGAGGAGAAGGAGGAGGAGGAGGAGGGGGAGGGGGAGGGGGAGGGGGGAGGAGAAGGGGGAGAGGGGGGGAGGGAGGAGGAGGAGGAGGAGGAGGAGGAGGAGGAGGAGGAGGAGGAGGAGGAGGAGGGTTTCACCATTTTCGGCTTCTGGGGCCCCTTACCAGGCCTCGGGACCGTCAAGAACCGGCATTGGACGAACAGCCCGTCCCGGGGAATAGTTCGAGACCTTTGGGGGCCGACGTTATTTTGCACGAGCGAGATGGGCACGGAAAGAATGGGTACGATGCCCAACAGCAGTTCCTGCTCCCTTTGGACAGGACTCGCTGTCCGCGCCGCCGCGGCCTATGTCCATCTGAGACAGAAGGCCGCCTGCCCAACAGCGGCCGCTGTTGGCTTGGGACAACATTTGTTGTTGGGCATAGTACCCATTCTTTCCGTGCCCATTTCGGGCGTCCAAAGTTATCACAAAAAACATGACGTCGGGGATCTGGGGATGTCTGTTCATGGGAGCCTTGGGCGGCGACGCTGTCATCAGAGCTTCCTGCATTTGGACAGCATATGGCCCGTCCTCCTGCTCCTCGTCGCCCTCTTCGTTCCTCGTTCTTCTGAAGGGGCGGACCCGGTTCAGATCTGGTACCACACTTGTATCAAGTCCGGTCAAATGCCGATTCACCTCGGACAGCGCCAAGGATCACGTAGGTTTTCACGGCACAGGCGCCAAAAGGCCGCGGCAGGCGGAAGATGTTTGGAGGAGGAAGTTCTTCCTCGCCTCCCTTGGCCCCGCGCTTCTTCGTGCCCACTTTGCTCCCGGCGTGTCCCCCCCGTTGCCAGACCAGCGCCTACACCTGTTGCGGTTCGCTCGCGCCCGCTGACATAAAACATCCAGAGGAAGAACAGGCACCGCTGCCGCTACTTCTGTGGCCTCGTGTTCGCATTTCTGTGGCTTCCTGGGATGCCCTCGCCGCCACGGCTGGACTCGCTCCGAAATGTTGGTCAGGACGCGCCCTGGGAGAGGTGCTTGGAGCTTTAGGTCGGGCCTGTCCCCCTACAGGGGGATTTAAGGCGAAAAAAAAAGTATATTCAAAACATAGTCCCAAACTGTTCAAAAAGAATCAAAACATCGTCCCGTGACAATTTTTGCCTATTTTGAATTCCCGACTTCAGGGGAGCTGCGGTTCCCCAGGATGTGGATCCACTCGGGCCAGGGTGGGGGAGCAAGCACATCCACATCGGCCCCCTGCCGAGGCCCCTGGAGATCGATCCGCCAGGCCGCGGCTCTCGTCCAGGCTGAAGTCGGGCGTGTCCCTCTACAGGAGGAATGTTTGAAGATGTCCGGGGACGACTTTTCTTCTGGTTCTGATTTTTGTTGATGGTTTGTGGATTTTTTTTTGTTGTTTCCTTTTTCGCCCGAAATCCGCCTGCAGGAGGACACGCCCGACCTGAGGCTCTGGTCCGGGCTCCGCAGATTGGGCCCGAGCAACTTGGATCGTGCCGCATCGCCGATGCAGCGCCGATGCATCGCCGATGCGGCTCGATGTGGAGACTGAGTTTCTCGACGCCGACGGCGCCGATGCGTCGCCGACCGTCGCCGACGAATCGGCGATGCATTGCCGATGCGGCGCGATCCGCCGGCCCCCACTTGGAGGCCTCTATTTTCAGACGCCTCCCCGCCTCTCAGGTCCACTGTCCAAGGCCTCGCGTTCCAGGCTCTTCCCGGCCGCGGCCCCACGGGCACGGGGCCGCCCTGCGCGGATGGCATTCTCGGAGCGTTTCCATGGGTTCGCGTATCCATGGGATCGCGCCTCCGTGTCCAGCCCGCGACGGCATGGACATGATAGATGCATATCTATATCTATATCTATTTAAATATAAATATATGTGCGTGTATATACAGAATATATGAATAGATCCCGGCCCCCCCGGCCCCAGGTCCCACACCTCCCCGTGACATCTCGGGGACGCTCCCAGTACCGCTCCCCGGGCCTTTCCGGGGAGCCCCCACAGCGCCCCAGAAGGGCCCAAGACGCCCCCCAGGAGCCCCCAGAATGCGAAAGGATGGTCCGAGACGCTCCCAAGCAGCCCAAGTCGGCCTTCGATGGCTCTCGAGGCTCCCAGGTGGCCTCCAAGAGACCCCAACAGAGTTCCGAAAGGCGTCCCAAATCGACGATGTTGGCCCGGCCAACATCGTCGATCTTCATATTTTGTTATATCTTTTTGGCTTCTCGCGTTACAATGGTCCAAGAGCGCCGAAGAGGGTCCCAAGACCGCCCCAACACCACCCAAGAGACCCCCAGGACGGCCCCAAGACGGGCCAAGAAGGCTCCAAGACTGCCGAAGAAGCGCCCAGGACAGCCCTAGACCACCCCAGGACAGGCCCAAGAAGAGCGGGAGCAGGAGGCTTCCAGAGACCCCCCAGAGGCCCCCAACACCCCCCCCGATCCTTGAGAGGCCCCAAAAGACCCCGACGAGGCTCCAAGAACAGCCCAAGAGAGCTGCGAGAGCCATCCCGAGAGAGCCCAAAGAGTGTAAAATCGTTGATATCCAATGGTTATTCTAATGTGTTTGGCCTTCTCACGTTTTCCCGCTTCCAACCCTCGAAGATCTAGGATTTTTGAAAAGAAAGGAATCCCCAACATTCCCCATTTTTTCAAAGTGGGCCTCCTACTCAGGGGTCATCCCCTGACATCTGGCCGGTACTGCGCCTCCGGGCTTCCCAGGGGGCCCCCAACACTCCCAAGGACAGCCCAAGACGACCCCAAGGAGCCCCCAGAACGGAAAGAACGGCCCAAGACGCTCCCGCGCAGCCCCAGACACCCTTCCGACGGCTCTCCAGGCCACCAGGAGGCCTCCAGAACCCCCAGGGGGTCCGGAAGATCCCACTCCCCTGAGGGGCCCGGCTAAAAAAACTTGCGAGGCACAAACAAAAAGCAGCGCCGAACAGCACCGAGGAATTCTTTTGTTCAAGTTTGGCCCCTGGTTCACTCTTGCGCAACAGACCACATTCAGACCCCCCTCACCTCCCCCCCAAAAAGCCAGGAAGCCTTTCAGGGGCCCAAATCGTAGAACACCGATTGGAAACTAATGATTTCTGCGTTTCCGCACTTCCCCTTCTATACGATTCTGAGGCTTGCGCAGGGCCTCCAAGGGAGTCCCTGGATGCAAGAGGCGACCAAAGTGATGTTTCATAAGTCAGCCTATCAAGCCTAGCTAGAACTTGAGCGCGCGCGATGCGTGCGCGATGGTTCCAGTACACATATATATATATGTATGTATATGTATATGTATATGTGTGTATATATGTATAGTTGTGCTGTGCGTCCTTTGGCGCGTAACGGTCGTTATCCCCCACACCCTCGGGTAACAGTGACGATCGTGTGAAGGGGTGGAGGCCTGGATTCCCCCCCACAGACGTGTTGGCGTTTGCGCGCGTATTTTCGCTATGATTACCGCACCCCTGCCCCGACGTGCCCCACACCGCCTGAGCGTTACCATTTCCCGGGGGGGCCAGTTAGCAGAAATATTCCGCAATCCCGGGGAATCTATATATAACGTGTTGTGTAGAACAGTCGGTCGTGGGCCTCTGGGAGGTTCAGTCATTGGTGTTCATGCACCGATGCCGGTCATTTTCAGCGCCTCGCGCTTCCCCGCAAGTGGTTTCTGGGGGCCTCAGACGCCTTCCGGCCCCCCCCCCATGCAGGGGGCTATCTTGGTCGCCTCGTTGGGCTAAGGAGCGGGGGGTGGTTGGCCCTGGTGCTGTCAACGCCGTTGGCAGGGAGCCACGGAGATTGCGGCAGCGGGTGGACTCTGGAAGGGCAGGCGCCGCGCTTGCAGGCCAGCGTCGCTGCAGCCAGGCAGCCCAGGAGCGGTGCACAATCCCGCTGCAAGCCAGCTGGGTGTGGGGGGCGCTATCTAGGTGCATGCGTCGTCTCCGCCTCCCGCGACATTCCTCATTCTTCCTCTCTATCTCTCTGTCTTTTCTTTTATTTATCTCTCGCTCACGTCTTTTTTTTTTTCTCTCTCTCTCTTTCTCTCTCTCCTTCTCTCTTGTCTTTCGCCCTTTTTCTGCATGTCCTCGAGGAGATCGTCCCCGGCGCAGCAGTCCCAGCGACTGCGGCTGTCACTGCCACTGCAGCCGCCCCAGCCACTGCGACGCTGACAGGCTCGGGGTGGAGGTGAAGGGGGTAGGCGAGCAGTGGCATCTGTTCTTTCGTGCTCTTCTCCTCTGTCCTGGCCCCTCCTCCTGCATGACGGCCCAATTCGCTACAACGGCACCCCCGTTTAGCTAGCTCTTCTCCAGCGCAGTTACTCTTTCGTACTCTCTGGGGGGGCATGATCCATGCTCGGTCGACCGCTGCTGTGTGGGAGGAGGCCGCCCGAGCGGCCGCTGCCACTCGCTGCGTGCAGCGCCAGGAAGCCTCGTCGCCACGGACGGCTTCGCTTCGGAGAGGCCTGGTCAGAACGCACTCCTGGAGAGTTCCGTGGACCAGCGGCATGGGTATCTTCTTGTCCCTCTTCGAGGTAGGAGGAGGGGCGGGCCGCCAACGACATGACTCGTCGGCGTACCGACAACAGTCCCTGCCTACTCTGAACAGGGCTCACTGTCGGTCTTGCCGCCGACATGATCGTGTTCAGGCAGAAAGTCGCCTGCCCAACAGCGGCCACTGCCGGTGTCGGGCAACATAGGCTGTTGGGCATCGTATGCATGTGTGCAGTACCCATGTCTGGTGCGTCAAGGCTCCTGTTCCCGGGTGGCTTCTTGACCCGCTCCTGGGGCATCCAGGGGAATCTTCCCGTAGGCCGAGAGTTTCAAGAAGTTTCTCTCGAGTCGCCAGGGAGGTCTGGGCCGGGGTGCTCATCGGAGGGAGGGGAAGCGCCACCACCACCTCCAGCGGGCCGCCTCCAGCGGGCCACCACCGCCACAAGCGGGCCACCAGGAGGTCCGCGATGCCTTGGGAGTTTCTAGGCCACCCTGGAAACCTTGGAGCCCTCGTTTTGCGATCGCCGATGCCCCGTAGACACCCTTGAGGTGCCTATGTGCCATCCTAAGTAGTGCCATCTTGTGTCTTTGTGGGGCCATCTCTGGCCGTCGTGGGGCGGCCTGAGACCGTCTTGGAATTTCAGCAGGCTGGCGGAAAGGCAGTGGTCCGCAAGGGGGGCGTGGGGGCGGGGAATGGGAGATCGGCCATATCTCGAGGTAGACGACGCGACACCGAGGGGGACACACCATTGAGAAGACCCTGCCCAGAGGCGGTGGTGCCGAGCTCTTCTCGCTTTGCCCACAGTCGGGGCAATTGGGGTGCTTGTGCCTTCGCCTTTGGCAGGTCGGCCTTCGCGTGACTCAGGGCTTGCCTGGAGTCGGGCCTGTCCCTCTACAGGGGGAACATTCAAAAATAGTTAAAATATCATACGGGGACTATTTTTGAGTATTGTTGGGCATCTTTTGAATATTGTTGCTGGTATTTGTTCGTCCCAAATCCCCCTGTAGGGGGACAGGCCCGACCTAAGGCTTGACTGGCCTGGTGCACTTTGCAAGCGCCGCGTTGTCTTCGCATCATCATGCGCGCGGCTGCTTGTCAGATTTATCCATCGGTCATTGAAAGTAGGTATCCCTGGATTCCCAGATTCCAGTAGGCGCCTTCCTATTTCAATGATCGTGGGGCTTCACCTTTTCCGTCCTCACGGGTCGCGCGGAAGCCCAATCTACTTTCACCGCCGTCCTACTCCGTGTTCCGACCCATTTCTTCCGACCAGCGTGTACTTGCATGCCAGTTTCGCTTCCCTGCCCCCTCCGATTCATTTTCGAGCAGCGCTGGGCCGAAAAAGGCGTGCAAGTGAGCGCCGACATGTCCGAAGTCCAGAACTTCTTCAGGGGCCTCGCCGCGCCCGCCCCTCCAATTGCAAACGCACCTGCCGGAGGCGATCTCAAGAGAAACGACACCCACGGAGATGCGAGTAACAGTCGTTGCCCTCGGCCACGCACAGAGGGGGGCAGAAGCCCGTGCTTCTCAGAAGGCGCAGGCCTTCTCTGTATATGTAAGGCCGGCGCCTTCGCAGAAGCTTGCCCCCTCCCCTGGCCCCTGTGCGCGCGCCGCCCATGCCCGGCCCCCACCCCCGGGAACGACCGCGCCACGACGAGATTCGGCACACCGCAGGAGCTTTCGACCGGAGCCCTGGACCCCGTCCTCCTGCGGACTATTTCGAGCGGGATCGATCCGCGAGGGTCCTGGGCCCCGAAAGAGAAGCGCAGTCGACGATTGTGAGAATCATGCGACGCCCGGGTCTCAGGGAGCGACCCACGGTTCGTGGCTGATCGGGGCGGACAAATCACCGAGTGCGTTCCACTGCTCGCAAAGTGCCTGCTCGCAAACGTCAGCCAAACACTTGTGTGCCTCGATGCAGCAGATCATAAATCCCCCGCGGCGGATCCAGGCCACCGGCGAGCACTTACCTTGCGAGCAAAGGAACGCAATCTTGTAAACAAACTCGCGTTGCTTGCAGCCACGGGGGCCTTCGGTGGAGCTGACCTCCCACTGGGGCCACGAATCGCGAGATGGGTGGGCCGAAGTGGGGCGCGGGCACCATGGGAACCCAGCCGCCGTCGCCTTCGGTGCAGCTCCCTGTGGGGCCACGGAACGCGTGAGGGGTGCACCGAAGTGGGGTGGGGCACCACGGGCACCCAGCAACCGTCGCCTTCGGTGGAGGAGGAGGAGAAAAAGAAGGAGGAGAGGGAGGAGGAGGAGGAGGAGGAGGAGGAGGAGGAGGAGGAGGAGGAGGAGGAGGAGGGAGGATATGGAGGAGGAGGAGGAGGAGGAGGAGGAGGAGGGAGGATATGGAGGAGGAGGAGGAGGAGGAGGAGGAGGGAGGATATGGAGGAGGAGGAGGAGGAGGAGGAGGAGGTGGAGGAGGAGGAGGACCTCCCCGTGGGGCCACGAAAGCGCGCCTGCTCCCCGTCGGGCCTGCGGCATGCGTAATAACGCGTGCGCGGCGGAGCGGCCCGGCCCGGCGGGCCCGCCCGCGCCCCAGGCGAGGGCCGGGCGCGCCGCCCAGCGGCGGAGGAGGCGCGCCGCGCTGCGCGCCACGCGCCCTGCCGGCGGAGCCCATTGGGGCGCGCTGCGAGCTGGTAGAGGCCCCAAACTCCTCGCGCTGTGAACAGCATCACGACGGAAGGTTTTTCTATGTTTTCGGCCTCCGGGGGCCTTTGCTGGGCTTCTGGACCGACGAAAAACGATTCGGGACGAAAAACCCGTCCGGGGGAAGGGGTCCAGACCTCTGGGGCTCAGAGGGGGAAGAGGTACCCACACTGTTACCCTTCCCTCGTTTTCCCCTCCGCAGGATGCGCTTCGAACTCCTGGTCAGAGCGCAGCCCAGGAGGGGTCCGGGGAGTCGCGGTATGGGTACCTTCTGGTCTCCACAGCCGGATCGTGCAGGGTCCTGCAACGCCAGGGGTGCATAGACCCAGAGCTTGTCCGCATAGGCCTGCAGGAGCCTGCAGGCTCTTGCAGGCTCCCGCGGGCTCCCCTGTCCTCCGCTTCGCGGGGCCTCGCTCGTCCTCCCCTGGCCGTTCGTCCCTCGCTCGCTCACTCCGCCTCGAGGAGGAGGAGGAGGAGGAGGAGGAGGAGGAGGAGGAGGAGGAGGCCTCGCGTCCCCGCTCGTCCTGCGTCCCTCTCTCCCTCCGTGCGCCTTCTTCTCTGAAAACATGCACGGGTGATAATCAAACAAGACACCCTTCAAGCCTCAAGGGTATTGCTACACGACGGTGTGCATGTATGACAAATACTCAGTCCGCAACTCATCTGAAAGCCTGCCGTGCGCATTGCGCACGAAGGATGTGTGAATTCGTCCTTCGTGTAGCGCTTGCCGGCGCGCCTTCGGGCGTACGGCTTCTGTCTGTATGTCAGAGGCGGGGGTCGATGCAAACGGGGGTCAACCAGAGCGAAACTTGGCTGGCCCGGGCTTGCATTGACATTAGGTGTACGCAACCATCCAGCTGTCCGGCCGAAGACCGCTGGAAACTGCCAAAGGCCGCCAGAAGACGTCGAAGACCGCCGAAGACCACCGAAAACCATCCGAAGAACGCCGAAGACCGCCCAGGAGCGATGGGTAACATGGAGTCCATGGTCGAACACGTGATTGACCCGGGTCAGTGCGTCCCTTGGCGTTTTGGTGCACATTCGGGGCTCCCTGCCTGCGCGGCCGCCCTCTGCTTCACAACCCTGTGCTGTGTGCCTCGCACCCGTCGCGCCCCGCCAGTCTCGACCAACCCGCCCGCGTCCGCCGGCGTTGCCGATCAACACTCTTGTGCACACTCATCGGCTCCACATGAGAGTGACTCACCGAGCGCGTTCCACTACTCGCACAGCGTCTACTCGCAAACGTTTGAAAGCACATGTATTCCTGTATGTCATGGGTCGTAGATGTCCCGCGGCGGATCCAGGCCATCTAGTGACCCTTCGCCAGAGTGACCTTTGGTGCGGGCCCCAGTGGTCCATCCGATCTCTGAGTGCGATGCGATTGTAGTGGCTTGCTTCCTGCTGGCCGGGCCCCACATGGAAATTATGCGTGTACAGTCTGGCTCGCCTGTCGCCGTCTCGATCGGCCCGATCCTCCAGGAGATCTGCCTGCTCGCCCATCGCCGTTTCCACAGCGTTGGCGCTTTCGCGGATGACGTGGGGATGGCCTCGGGGAGCGTGGTCGACACGTTCATCCGAAGCTTGAGCGTCTGGAACAAAGCTGGCCCAGTGGCCTGTAAGTGAACTTTGCCAAGGCGTTGGCTATACCCGAGAAGGACCGCCACTCGGCGGACTGCTTCATCCAGGAGCTGAGCGAGCCGGGACTCTGAGGTCCCTGGCCTGGAGATTATTCGGTCGTGTCATTATCTCGGCTTCACATCGGTCTTGAGAGCACGTGTGCCTCCTGGGAGGCTCCGCTACTAGACTATGCTACACGCGTAGGGCTGGCTCATCAGGGGTCGCGAGCTCGGCCTCACCAAAATAGTTGCCCAGTATGATATGATCGCGTTATCGGCTTTGTCCTTTATCGCGTGAGTGATCCCTCCTTCGACTAGTGTCCTCAAGATAGAACGAGGGTGCATTCAGAAGCTGACCGCTGCACCAAACAATGCAATCATCCACGCTGTCATGAAGTGCTCCTCTATCCTCGGGTTTGCATTAGATGCGCGCCGTGCCATCCAAATGGGTCGTATTGCGATGTTCCGAGCTGCGTCTTATTCACAACTTTCAGCGCTGTGCGTGACGAGCTCGAGGAGTTTGGCGATTCCGACGAGTGTGGTCTTGCCTGGATCCCCAGGATCCCCAAGGCCCTTCTCTGCGAATCCCGGGAATCGTAAGTACGAGGTCCTTCCCCAGAAAATTGAGGCAGCCACCGCAGCTGTTGTCCGAGCTGCCCGCGCCGCCCAGGCGCGCCCAGAGGATTTGGCGTCCTGAGGTTCAGGAATGGGTCAGGTCGGCCAGTCCGAAGCCTCCCGTCGGCGAACATTCGCTCCCCTCCCTCCCCATCCCCCTACTGCCCTCCCCCCCTACTGCCCTCCTCTCATTCCCCCCCCCCCCCCTCTTTCTCTCTCTTTCCCTCCATTCGTCCTCGCCTCGCCCCTCCGCTTCGCCTCCCCCGCCCCCCCCCCTTCCCCCTGCCCCTTCCTCCTCCTCCTGCTCCTCCTCCTTCTCCGCCTCTCTCCTCCTCCCCCTCCTCCTTCCTCCCCTCCTCCTCCTCCTCCTCTCCTCCTCCTCATCCCCCTCCTCCTCCCCTCCTCCTCCTCCTCCTCCCTCCCTCCCTCCCTCCCTCCCTCCCTCCCTCCCTCCCTCCCTCCTCCCTCCCTCCCTCCCTCCCTCCCCCCTCCCTCTCCTCCTCCCCTCCCCCTCTTCCTGCTCCTCCTCCTCCTCCTCCTCCTCCTCCTCCTCCTGCTCCTCCGCTCCCTCCTCCTCCTCCTCTCCTCTCCTCCTCCTCCTCCTCCTTCTCCTCCTCCTCCTCCTCCTCCCTCCTCCCCATCCTCCTCCTCCTTCTCCTCCTCCTCCTCCTCTTCTCCTCCTTCCTCCTCCTCTTTCCTCCTCCTCTTTCCTCCTCCTCCTCCTCCTCCTCCTCCTCCTCCTCCTCCTCCTCCTCCTCCTCCTCCTCCCCTCCCCCCTTCTCTCCTCTTCCCCCGCGCGCGCGTCTGCCCCGCCCGCGCTGCGATGGCGCTCGTGGGCTCGAGCGCCGGCTGAGCGTGCGAGGGGGCGCCACAACATCGAAGCGCGTCTCGCGATGGGCGCTCAGGCGCCCGGCTGCGGGGAGGACGGGGGAGGAATGAGGAGGAGGAGGGA